CATTCTCACTGGGGTTAAAAAACGGAAAAGTCGGTGGTATTCATATTTAGGAACAGATCTACGCGTCACGCCAGCATGCTCGTCACATACTCCTGGAACCGCACAACGCCTGGCTCAACACCTCCGGCCCAGCCGCCCCAGTAGCTGGTCTACAGACATCTATCTTCGATCGTCTCTGAGGGCAATGGTTCTAGTTTGTCAGGAAGAGGAGCACTCTGAGAGCGCGCTTAAACTCCTACCTCAAGTGATCCTCCCACCGCAGCCGCCAAAGCGATACAGGTGAGCCACGCTCAATTGATATGGTGTAAGCACTGAGTGTGAGCAGTGCAAACAAGCACAGAAACTAATAAACACCAACAGCTGTAGAAAGATGCACCATCATGTACGATAACAACCTGGAAGCCCGAACAAAGACACATTGTTTCGTTGTACCATAGATTAGATCATCAGATATTAAAATATCGTAAGAGGCGGAGCCACGAGAGAAGAAACAAACGAGGTCTATGGGAAAGAAAAAATACCCACACTAAGGTGCGGTGGAGCACACAGTACGTTGCAGGTGCCCGACACTCCAACGCAGAGTATGCGAGGATTCGCTCCCTGCCCCAACCCGCCAACAATAAAGCACAGCGCGTGCGTGAAGCAACTGTGAATTATAACAGAATAACAAAAGAAAACTCACCAAATGGAAAACTGATAAAGCCAATGCCCGAGACCATCCATCGAGACGTAACTCGCGGGACCGCAGCCTCAAGCGCCAAACGAACGGCCAGCCGGTGACTCGCTCCCGCCGTCCCACAGCCACCAGTCCAGCCGGACCGGAGCGGAGAGCCGGCCGCCGAGGCAACGGCTGACTGCCGCCAGGGCGGGGAGAGCCACCCTGGACCGCAGGGGCAGCGTCGTGACACTATGTGCTCGGCACATCTGTGAGTGGAGCCCTACTTGGGAGACAAGTATAGTTTGATATCTGGCATATTAATGCCTCCCATTTTGTTTTTGTTGCCTAGAATTGCTCTTGATATTCGGGGTCTTCTTTGGTTCCATATGAAGCGTAAAATTATTTTTTCTATATCTGTGAAGTATGCTGATGGGATTTTAAGAAAAGTATATTATACTCAAAGTCTAGAATGACTGAATGAAACTCTAATGGTGGGGGAATTAATAAGAGGATGTCTTGAGAGTCTTAGTTATGAATATTCTAAGAATCATAGAAAGCTTCACATTCTGCAAATTGAGAGAATAACTTTCTAATTGGTATGTGCGAATGTATGTGTGTGTGTTTTGTGTGGGCTAGCATACAGGATGAAAATTCTGGGATCAAAATTACTGAGACCATAGAGAGTGTACTGGGTCGTGGCAATATCCTTGGATTCTGGGGTCAGGAATTACGGATAAATCAAATTTAATTCCCCAAGCTGAATGAGATAAGCTTCAAGAATTTATTAAACGTATATTTAAGTAATATCAGTACATGTCTTCCAAACTGGCTTTCATTTCTCAATATTTCCTCACAGACTGCTCAACTAGACAACAAAGCTCATGGACCCGACTTCTTAGGAAGTATTTTAGTGATGATACCAATGGATTCATTTGCAGCCTCTATCTCACCTTCTGAGTATTTATGCCGATCTGTGACTTATTAGACTTTGAATTGCTGTGGTATATCTAGCTTTTTGCTTTTCATTTTATATATGTATATATATGTATGTATGTGTATTTTGTGTTTATCTTGCCTAATTTTATTTAAAGTATTTTATCATACATACACATAAAACTATTCCTTGTTCTGTGAATATATTTTTCTGTTTTTATTACTTTATTTTTTGTGACAGGTTTCAAAATAGTAATTCATCATCCCGATATGCACAAATGTGGGTGCACTCATTCACTCCTACACAGGAATATCAAACACAGGTGTCTTTGAGCAAGGCCCCTTAAAATACTTTCATTCACATTTACCAAAAGAGCTTCTCCTTTGATAAATACAGGTGAGTGTGTTTGATTCTCAACCAGAATGATTACTCTATCTCCTTTCCCCACAGGAAACTTTTCTGAATATTTTGCATTGATTAGTCTGTATTCTGAGAAAAATCCATAACTATATTTAATTTACTTTTAAGATATTTCATTGCAGTGTTACCTGCACTGAAGTATAATTTATCATTTTTGTTTCATAACAAGTTCCCCTTGTAATAATAAAACTAGGTTCATTTTCAATAATTTCATCAGCATTGTTATCTTTGCCACAGGATATCACATTCACACTATTCCTTACAAAATTTCTTATAGCAGGGAATGAACTTATCAATGTTTTAAAATTAAAAGTATTTTGTTCTCATATCTTTTTTGGATAGTCATTGAAGGAGTCATGGGAGAATCTTGGTTTAGTTTGTGTGTATTCCTTTACATGTAAGTCTTATCAAGGTTGCACAGCTCACTGTTCTTTGTGACACTCCTGCTGTTAAATGAAGTACCTACTAAAATCACATTTAATTGTAAGAGGTTGTCAAAAATGACAATATACTTTTATGCAGGTATATTTTTAAGTTTGTTTTGTCATTTAGGTCATGAATACTATTTTGCAGTTCTACTATCAATTTGTAAAAACATGCCTCTTTTTTAGTTTATTTTTGTTAGCAGTATGATTAATCCCTTTTTATTTTAAATAAAAAATGTAAAATAAAGTAACATTTCTGAAGATTTTATGATAGGAACTATAGTGTTAGGTACTCTGAAGTGGATAAAAGTAAGTCATGGATCTATATCTATTAAATAATACTAATACACTTACATACTTGGGATTAAACATGATATTTAGGTTAAATAATATTCCTAAAATTCCTAAACTAAGAAATATATTTGATCTATTTCTGCATTACCAGTTCCTGGCACAATACAGAGGTATGTTTGGTAAATGTTTGCTGGCTAACTGGATGTTTGACCAGTAGGCACTGTGATTTTTTTTCTTCTGCTTACATCATTCCATAAACCCTTACATCATTCAGAAACACAGATTTCATCACATGCTGGCGAAGCTAGATTAGCATTAATTCATTTATTCTGGAACTGGTGAAGGTTGCAGGATGATGGGTACGAGGTGCTCCTTGTCCTTGTCCCCACTGGCTCCAGATGGAGCCCAGGCATTCACACCTCAGGGTCCACAGTCACCCACAGTCCCAGGCAGGTGACAGTGGTCTGAGCTGTAGTTTAAAAAATCTTTAGACTTGAATCCAAGCTTTTAGGTGTCCCTGGGTTTTATTCTCTGTTCACTGAGGGTGCCAAATGCATAAAGGCCCAGACAATGATGGGGAAGAGAGAGTGGCCCTTTTACCCAGGCCTTCCTCACTAACTCCGAGCACCAGAGGTGGCTCTGACCTGCTCATCCCGAGGCTGCATCTTCCGCCCATTCTGATTGGCCCTCTCTTCCCTCTCCCCATTCAGGACTGTGGTTCCTGCATGTTCCCTGCTAGGTCAGATCAATCATACTTTGCCATCCAGCATTTACCATCTGTGGTTCCAAACAACATGTATACAAATTGACGGAAGTCAGGTGACCCTGGGTCATATGCACCCAAAATAATTCTAAAATTTTCAATGCATACCTGATGTTCTTATTTGAATTTAGGGAAATTGTTAATTATAGCATTTAATTAAATAATATCTTAAGTTTAAATTCTAAAGTTGCTTACATACTTGACTATGGGAGAGGTAGATCTTTAGATGTAAGTGGAGTTTTGGGGATTTAGGACAGTCATTTGGAAAATGGAGAGGTCAGGACAAAGAGAATAGGAAGGAAGAGTCAATGGTGGGTCAGAAGAAGACAGATCAGAATCACAAGAGGGAGATGGAAGAGCTGGATACAAGGAGGTAACTGGGAGAGAAAAGGAGGGAGAAGATTTACCTAAAAAATGAGTCCAGTTTTTGTTGCTTATTAATTTGTATCACCTTTGGCCACTGAATAATTTAGTGAAGCAACTTTTATTTTTTATTATTTCAAAAATTTTGTTTCAGAATATTATGGGGGTACAAACATTTTGGTGACATAAATTGCTTTTGCACAGTTTGAGTCAAAGTTTTAAGTGCGTCCATCCCCCGTATAGTGTGCATGTATGCGTTATGTGTGAGGTGTGAATTTATCCATCCCCTCCCTCCTGCTTGATTTCTGCTGAATGCTATTTCCTTATGTGCACATAATTGTTGATCAATTAGCTCCAATGGTAGTGCATGTGGTGTTTGTTTTCCCATTCTTGTGATACTAGCGAAGCAATTTTTAATTCACAATTTTATATGGAGTTTTCTGCCTCCCAATCACAATGAGATATCACTTAACCCCAGTGAGAATGGCCTTTATCAAAAAATCTCCAAACAATAAATGCTGGCGTGGTTGCGGAGAGAGAGGAACACTCCTACACTGCTGGTGGGACTGCAAACTAGTTCAACCTCTGTGGAAAGCAATATGGAGATACCTTAAAGCGATACAAGTGAATCTACCATTTGATCCAGCAATCCCATTGCTGGGCATCTACCCAAATGATCCAGTGACACTCTACAAAAAAGACACCTGCACTCGAATGTTTATAGCAGCACAATTCATAATTGCAAGGCTGTGGAAACAGCCCAAGTGCCCATCAATCCAAGAATGGATTAATAAAATGTGGTATATGTACACCATGGAGTACTATTCAGCTCTAAGAAACAATGGTGATATAGCACATCTTATATTTTCCTGGTTAGAGCTGGAACCCATACTACTAAGTGAAGTATCCCAAAAATGGAAAAACAAGCACCAGATATATTCTCCAGCAAACTGGTATTAACTGAGTAGCACCTAAGTGGACACATAGGTACTACAGTAATAGGGTATTGAGCAGCGGGGAGGGGGGAGGGGGTATATACATAATGAGTGAGATGTGCACCATCTAGGGGATGGTCATGATGGAGGCTCAGACTTTTGGGGGGAGGGGGGGAAATGGGCATTTATTGAAACCTTAAAATCTGTACCCCCATAATATGCCAAAATAAAAAAAAATACTTTTCTCTCTACTAAATTGAGTAATTTATAAGTGATATAAACCTATCTCTATATATATTTACAATATAAACATTCCCTGGACTTTTACTCAGTGGAGTTGGAATACAGTTAATAAGTATATAATAATTTGACACATATTAAAACATAAAAAATAAAAAGTCTCAATTCCTATGGCCATAGTGTACTTTATGAGCCTAGTTCAGAATAGCTATATAAGGCTAGGGATTCATCTATTTTGGATTGTCAGTCTGTGACATAAGAAGTCCCAAATGGCTGGAAGGCAAATGCAAATTTCAGTTTAATGCATACATTGCAAACCCACATAATAGAAACTTTTCTTCTTTGGATAATAAGGGTTATAAAATGCAGAGGACAGAGTCACATGGAAAGGAAGCAAATATTTTAGTTTTATTAGGTGGAATAGTCTACAACTGTTGTCTCTGGTTCTCTGAGTTTAGGAGCACTGGCTGTAACTAAAACAGCATCTATTTAGTGAACTAATAGCATGGCCAACAGCCTGCCGGACAGCATTCAAACACATCATGTGATATCTCTCATGTGGATGTCAACTCAATGTTTATAGGACAGCGGACTATTATTTGTGGTTTGGCTATTTCTGACAATGAGTGGGAGTGGGGAATCAATCTTCAGTTTGAAAGATGACATTTTTGCATTAATATCAGAAAATGTTTTATGCTCAGAAGCAATGCTGGATGGGATAAGAGAATATATTTACTAACATATTAATTTATAGCTTTATAGCTTTGTTTATTCATTGTCTAGTAAGTCCACAAGCAGGTGTTAATTTTCAAATGGATACGGGCATGTCTATTTTGTTCATCATTGCATATTCAGGAAATATTTCTTAGCACATAAGAGAAACCAAAGAAATATTAATAGTTATGGAATGAGAGAACCATAAGGAAAATAAAATACATGAATTATTAGATTTTGTTTAGTATCTCAAAGGTTAACCATTGAAAAACAATATACCTCTGTTGAAGTAGGAAATTCCAGAGGCAAATCCCTGTAGACTACACCAGCACGTGTTACGTGCAGCAGCATCCTAAGGGCTCCTGAGGAACAGAAAAGGAGGGGACCACCGGGAAGAAGCCTAGACAGCGCAGCAGAAGGAGACTGGAGTCCTGGTCCCAGGGTGCTAGCATGCCCTGATGGCTCCAGCTTCCCCAGGGTACACCAGCCCACCCACCATTGGGTTTTCTCCCTTCCAGGTGAGTGTTGCACTGAGGCGGACAGCCAGCTACGACCATTCTCAACCTGTCCTGTGGCCCTGTGAACCCAGGCAGGAGAGGAAGGGGCCGGTGACCTTCCTCACCCCAGACCCTCTCCACACTGTTCCTTTTTCCCAGACCCTGCAAACTTCTGGGCAGCCCTCCGCCCTCGCAGAGAATCCTGGAGCCCAGATCTGGACCACCCTTCCCCGGGGGCTGCAGGACCTGGGCTGGGTCTTCAAGGCTGAGCGGGAACAGCGTTCTCTTCCTTTCCCCTGCGCCACCTGCGCCCTCCGACAACGCCCAGGTAAGCTCGCTCCCCTCCAGCGCGTCCCCCTCGCGTGGGCGGAGGAGCCCTCGCTGGAGGGACCCAGGGACAGGTGGCAGGGACACCTCAGCCTGGCAGGAAGGAGACGCGCCCGGGCGGGGAGGCGCCAGGTGCAGTGCTGGGCGCCCGGCCTTCCCGCCTGGCCCCTCGCCCGGCAGCTGCCAGGGGTCCCTTCGGCGTGAGCTCCCCTCCCAGCTGGGCCCCGTCTCGGTCCTCGCCCGCCCCGCTCCGCAGGCCTGCTCGGTAGTTCATATATGTATGGCTATAAAGTCACTAATCCTTAAGCCAAAGACGCGATACATTTATTTATTTAGGCAGGTTCGGATAATTATAACACTATGCAATTACACGTCCTATAATCAAATAGCCTATTTTCACATAAGTGTAATTTATATGCATATTACGTAATGTATGTTATATTTTACATGATTGCATGTATATTGGATATAGTACTTTATATGTCTGATTTTACTTTTAAAGTTCATATAATGCATTTCAATATCGTATCGTATTCAAAATTCATCCTTTAGAACAGGTATGTATCTTCCCTGCCTTCTTATTCCATGGTTAAGTAATAAACATATTTAGAAGCATGGTTGAAATTCCGTTTTTTGAAAAATGTAGTCAATATTTTGACTTAAATTTGGAATAAAGCCTTTGAAGAAAAACCATTTTAACCATTTGCTAGAGAATTAGAAAAAATATATAGCATTTTAATAGAAAATTAAAATTTGTATTTTAATACAAAAACAAGAACACTGGAAACTTCGTGACTAGGTATTTCTGAATTATCCTGGACAGCCTTGTCTACAATGAGGGGTGGCGAATTAAAATTACAGTGATTCATATCGTTCTTTCTACCTTACCCTACTCTATTTCAGCATCCACTCCCACAAGGTAGGGTCGCACAGAGGTGAGGTAGATATGCCTTGGAAGGGTTTGGTGGGGACAAGGACAGTCCCCGTCCCCACAATGAGATTATTTATGTGAGCATATTAGGGGAGAAGATCTTAATGTAAGCAAGTGTAAGGTGAGTTACAACTTTCAGGGTACCAGATATTTTTCTTCCTTATTTTGTTTTCTTCTCTGTGCCATGTCCCTATGCCCTCCTTCACTCCTGCCCCTGACAGCTAGGATCTCTAGCTAACCAGCTCCTGAAAGCAATGAGCGGACACTTGGTTGAGGGTAATTGTGTGGATTATCTTAATACCTCTATGAGATAGGTACTGCTACTGATGCCATTTTATAAACAAGGAAACTGAGTCTCAGAGAGGTAAAGTAACTTGTTTGAAGACAAGTAGTTTTAGTATGGTATGAATTGGATTGGAACTCAGGTCTCACTAACTCTAAAATCCACACAATTAACCATAAAGTGAAATTACCTGTCATCAGGCTGCCAGCAATCTGTCAAAAATTTACTGTCCTCCTATCTAAACATAATTCTGGCAAGTCAGTAATTACAGTTCTATCCAAGAGAAGACTCATCTTTCATAAGGTTGTTTATCCATCTTTATATCATATTTTTCTTACCCCAAATATATGCTAGTATTTTTTCATATGCAACAGCTTTGAATGAAGCTGGAGAACAGATGGTCAAATAACTGGTTTCCATATACAAGAAGAGATTGTTTCCACCCTGTTGATCTTTACATGGCTCTTAAACCCCAAAATCACAATGTCTTAAAAACACATTATTGGTAGAATGTGGTAACTAGCAGCTTACAGGGAGTGGGAAAAGGGAAATTGTCCACTTAATGAGTATAGAATTTTAGATTTGCAAGATGAAAATATTCTGGGGGTTTGTTTCACAATATGAATATATTTAACAATATTTAACTGGAGAGTTAAAAATGGTTAAGATGATAAATTTTATGTTATGTGTTTTTTACCATAATATAATAAAGAAAAAAACACATGATACTTCAATACATGTTTACTATGTATATACCATATACATTATACTATTTTAGTTTACATTTACCAAACCTTAAACTACACACTTTAGCATATACCTACTCTCTAAACTGATTCTCTCATTTTACTCCTCTCTTGTTACTAAGCAGATGACTTCATCTATAGTTGATTGTTGACTGTATCATACAATATTTAGCACCAGGGTTATAGAATCAGATAAATAGAATCTGAAGCACACAACATCAGTTTTTGGCTGTGTAACTGGGCAAGATGGTGTCTCTCTTTAACTTCAGATTTCTCATTTGTAAGTGTAAATAACAAATATATTTATTTCAGATGTCACAATAAAGTTATGAATTTAAATATTATATCATCTATTGGCACATAGGGACCACCAATTGACTAAAATATACAGTATAATTATTAATATTATTTTATAAGTTACATGATTCTGTCTTCATATTTTACTTCTCTTTGTCATGAAATCCATCTGTGTACTCCACGGGAAATATATACTATGAACAAATATGAGCAAATACAGGCAGATGTTTATGAAACTAATATCATCATCTTCCTGAGCACTATCTGGGGTAAACTTCTTTGCTTCTCATGCAATTACATTTGGCCGTATAATCAAGTTCTAGTTTGCTAGAAATTGGGGAGAATTGATGTAGTCCCCTTCTAGGGCCAGGCTCATAAATTTCTTTCATTCACAATCATCCATGCTATTGATATTATTGCAAGCTTGAGATGAACACAGCAAACATGGAAGTCACAATAAAGATGGTGAAAACATATGACAGAAGGGGACTATTTGGAACAGAGATGCCCACCAAATAGAAACTTGTGATTGAAACTTTATCTAATCAAGAACTAACCTTCTTTGGTATTTGAATCTTTATATATTCTGAGGCTTGTTTGTTCTAGTTGCTGAATAAAGAAATTGGTACCTTGAAGTAGCAGAGGAATTTCACAATACCAGCCCAGCCTGATTTCATAATCACTCTGAACAGTGATTGCTGTGTGTCTTTAATGCTTCTGTTTTATGAGTGAGAGTCTTTGTTGTAATTATCCTTGACTCTTCTTCCACTGCGAATTGGTCAAGAGGCAGTGGAAACCACGTCCATATATGCCTAGCACAGGAGAAGCCAAGTGCAGATTTTATTGAGAGGACTACACATCAGATGGAGATCTTGTACTTGAGCTGAATATAATGATGAGTTGGTGACCTACATAGTATCTCTGGGGAAGAGATGAACATGCTGTATGTCTAGGAAGAATGGTAAAACAAAGATTTGATATCAAGAAAAGAACACTATGAAATCAATTGGCTAGCTATTCACATAAATCATTTCCTCTTCTTTCCAGACATAGCAATGAATCTTCTTTCTAGTTTGCAATTGCTATGGGATTGTATTGCAGAAAGTAGAAGGGTTTAATGGATAGCAAATGAGTATTATTTTTACAAAAGTTAGCTTAGGATGTCATGTATATAGGTTTAAAGTGGGACTCAACAAGATGGTTCTAAAATTCATATGAGAGAACTAAATTCCAAAATTAGCCCAAAAAGACACTCCTGAAAGAGAAAATTGAGAAATCAAGTTGATGGAGTATTATGCAGAAAGACAAATCAATGGTATAAATAGGGACCCCAGAAAGAGATCTACACTCACATAGGAACTACTCAGTCAAAACTGTTGGGATATTTGTTACAGAGAAAAAGAAAACATGAAATCAAATCCCTATGTTGTACAAGATCTGAAAAGCATTCCAGATAGATTAAAGACAAGATTATAAAGCTTTTAGAGAAAATATGAAAGAATATCCTTATGACCTTTGGATGGGCAATGATTTTCTTGGCAAGACATAAAAATTGATAAGAATATAGAAAACACTGATCCATTTCATCACATTAAAATTAGAAATTCTATAAATTAAAAGCCATCTTAATGACAGTGAAAATATATGCCACAAATGAAACTTATTATTTGTAATATATAAATTGACAAAGGATTTGTATTTATAATCTATAAAGAACATTGATTAGTCAATATGGAAAAACAAAACAAGTTAGTTGGGAAATGGGCAAATGACAGGAATTTAGAATCAGCCCAAGTGATCCATAACATTTGAAAGCATTAACCCTCATTAATAATAAAGACATGTAAATTAGAATGATCATGATAGTCTATAAAATTAGCAACAATTCAAAATTTTCTGACTATAAAATATTGCCATGGGTGTGTATAAAAATGGACTCCCATTAAAAATGGTAGAAGTACAAAGCAGATAGTGGTTTAGAAAAAATATATATATGTTTCTAAAAGGTACCTCTGTGGATCCTAAAACCCAGCTGTTTACCTCTTATTAATATATCCCAAAGAATTTATACTACATATGCACCAGGATATATTACAGTAAGGTCAATAAGAGCATTAATACCAGGAATACTTGTAGTATAATTCAAATAGCCACTAAATGCAAAACAGAAAGTTTAAAATGTGATAAATTAATATGATTAAATGTTATATTTTTGTGAAAATTAATGAAAAACTGCATACCCATATATGGAAAACTCTCAAATACATAAAAATGAGTAAAAAGTACAAATTGCAAAAATATATACAATTTTATACCATTCTTACTACTTTGAAAAACAGGGAGACTAAGTAAACTTGTTTATGAATTCTTACAGAATTGGCAGAATATCAATAATAATTATATTAGATAAGTGAGGCCATGCTTTGCTTGCAAAAAAAATTCAAAAAACTCAATATCTGTGCAGAATCTAGGCTGGTTTTTTGTACATGCAAAGTTCAGTTCAAATGAGGGCATCCTTTATAGGGAGACTTACAAACCCTGGCAGGTTTGATCTTGTGCCTTTTTTTTTTTCCTAGCAAAATGGCAAAGATAATCTAGCACCACATCACATTTTACACTGCTTCACACAGAAGCAAATTATAATATCATATTTGATTGTTTAGTAATCTTGCATACCTGTTGGGTTGAAGGAGGGATTGGAAAATTTTGTCTCCCATATGCCCAGGAAGGAAATATATACAAAGAATTGGTGAGCACTATTAACAACTGTCATAGCAATTAACACAAAATCCAGTGTAAGTGTTTTCTGAGAGGAGTGGTAGAGGAGGCAGGGGTATTTATTTGGAAAGAAGCAAACCAGAAGGAAGAGGCATCTAAGCTATGGGCAGTATTTGTTTATTTAAGTCTAGATAGTAAGTACATATGTTTTCATTTTAAAATTATATAAACTGTATATATAGATTTATGTATATTCTGTATTGTATTTTAAAATGCAATATGTATGTATATATTAATATTTGATGCATAATATAATGTATATTATAATATATACATAAGTGTAATATAATATATACATATGTCTATTAATATATGGTATATGTCACAATATATCTTACTGTGGAAAGTAGATTAATGGTCCCCCAAAATATCTAGGTTCTAATGCATGAAACGTGAATGTGTTACCTTTGTGACAAAAATCATTGAGCAAGTGTGAGTAAGGCTAGGGACATTGAAATGGGAGGGCCTTCCTGCTGGTCTGGGGAGTCTCCAGACCAGCAGGTCTCCATTGTGGGGTGGGGCTAGGGCGGGGGCGGGGCGGGGGGCGGGGCGGGGCGGAGGTCTTCGCAATTCCCCGCCCCCGGCTCCAGCTCCCGAGGCGGCGGGCAGGGAGGCGAAGGTGGGAGGCGGCGGCAGCAGCCCAGCTCGTTTGGCCGGCAGTTCCTGGGGACTAGGTGGCACTTCGGGGCCTTCCATCAGTGACTCAGTGTCTCCCCCGCGGGACCGCCCCGCCCCTGCCCCCACCCTTCATATCTTCCCAGTCCTCACCTTCAATCCTAGGGCAACTGCAGCAGTCATTTGCAATCAGTTTTCAAACCCCAGAGGGATGGCTCTTGGAACCTCACAAATTGAATAGATAATCCAAGGACACTTTACAAGTGGGGTTAGGGACTCGTTTGGCTGTGGAAGTTTTGGGGGAATTTCATCTTAGGTTAATCATTTTAGGTTAGTTTCTTGGGTGAGTGGTTCTGCCCACTAGGATGTAGCCTTGGAGTATGGTAATATCTGCTCCAGTATCTGAAATGAGAAAGTAGGAAATGAAGGTAAGCAGTTAAAGATGGGAGACATTGTTTGGGAGATGTAATGCAACAGAAAATGGCTGGTTCTTACCATTTGACTTTGTCAGGGCTCATAAAACAGTACCCCAAAATGCAGGCCTCCAAAGCAAAAGTTTTTCTCTGACCTTCTCTGCCCTCCTATCTCTCTGTCCCATTCTCCCTGGTGGCTAGCTATAGAAACTAGAATCCCTCTTCCCCAAGGCAGATCATAGAAACCAGAACCTCTTTTCTGGTAAGCCAGCCATAAAACCTAAATCTATTTTATGTAAAAACTGGCCATAAAGTAATTATCTGTACCTTTTTGACTGTAGGTCATAAGACCCCCATTCCAGAGAGGGCCCTGCCCACATCCAGAAGGGAGGCAAAGTTCAGAGAGGCCAAGAAGAATCCAGACAGACTGGCCTGGCTGGGTTTCTCCACTCAGTCTGTGAGCATCAAATCCTTTTCGTTCATTCATGTTTCTGCATAGCTGTCCATACTTTGTTGAACCTAAGCATGAAAATGGACAGTTCCCCCTCTATCTTTCAATCTTTATTCTGAAGGCTTCCGTGAATACACACTAAAAAAATGTGTATGCTTTTTCTCCTGTTAATCTGCCTCATGTCAGTGACTTTCAGCAAACTGCCTGGTGGCTAAGGGCCTTGGCTCAGACAACTTTATTAAAAAAGTCATCTACTCACAACTCAGAAAGATAAAAAGAAGTACAAAAATTATTACGGGATACAAATTCTTTATCGATAGTATGTATATCTGTTTGTCTTTGATATATGTATGAGAGTTCAGTTTTAGAAGTCCCATGAGGTATAGTTTGTTTATGTTTACTGTTAATTAGTTTTTATTTTAAATGCTAAAGCAAAGAAAATTAATAGCTATTTTACATTTTTGAAGATTCTAAAGAGACCTGTATCTACTAGGAATTATTTTTATATGGGGGAGGGTTATAGAAGAATATATATTCAAAATGTATTGTTTTTAATTTTTCCTAAAGAAGAACAAGAAAAAGGTATCTGCTTAATGATCTTGAAACTTTTATTTGAATTGATAACTCTGTACAAATTTGCTTTCAAAAAATGCAAGTAAATAGGTCTTTGCTTTCCTCTTCTCACCCTTTAGAGAAGGTGTCAAGTTGAATTGAAATTAGGAAATGGTGAGCTAACATTCTTTTGTATTTGTTTATTTACCTCTTTATCTTTTTAATGATTTCTAGTTGATACATAATAATCATATGTATTTATGAGGTACAATGTGGTGTTTTGATAAATTTAAACATTATGGCTAATCAGGTTAATTATCATATCCGTCACCTAAAGTATTCATTATTTGTGTATTTAAAATTACACATTATATAAAATTGCCCTTCACACATACAAGAATTAATTATAGATTTGATAAGCTTTACATATAAAATAATCTTCATAGACAATAGATAATATAATATATAAACATAAAACAAAAAATTGCTTCTCTGTTTTCAGTTAACAGCTCAAAAATTTATCACTTATTAAGCAAGATAGAGCAATGATTAAGATAGACAATGATTAAGCAATCATTGTCAAAATGTTAGCTCTCTAGCATTTAGAAGTGTACTATAAAAATAAAATACATGGGTATTTTTATTTTCTAGACTTTTTTGGCTAAATTTATATAAAGGTTGTTCTCTGCTCACAATATTGCCTATTTTTCCCACTTCCCTTGTAACAATGCAAAAAGAGCTCCCTTCTTTCTCTAGTGCTGCACTATAAGTAGGTAATTTATAGACTTTGATGATCTTTGTTTTCAAATATTGACATGATTTCTTTTCCTGCCTTGTTTTTTACTCAACTTGGTTTTCCTTATAATTCTCAACAGAGTTTTATTTTCTTCATTTTGTTCCATAAAGAGGCATTGTCTCAGTCTAGGTTCTTAGAACTTCTGTCTTAACTGATTATGTCTCCTATTACAAAAATAGAGTTTATTTTAAAAATCTATTAAATGATTGTGTGTACCTAGAAATAAAAAAGAGACAGGAGACTTTTTTTTCTTTTTTATCTGCTTCTAAATAAAGTAGAGCATGCAAGAAGTAGTGTTAAATTATACTGAGATTTAATTAGTCTTTTAAAAAAATGGAAATGAAGAGGGGGCACTCTATTTGGAATTTGGGCCATTTTAGAATTCAGAAATAGATTTGTCTTTCCTCCTTGCAGCAGTCTTTTCCTCCTAAGAACATTCTCTTATATCTTATATCTCCTAAGAACTTTCTCTTATATCTTTCTCCATGTTCCTTTATAAATATTTCAAAATTCAATGATCTTCTTGCCAACTCTTTTTCTTGTATATTTTTTATAGATAACTACAGAATAGCTTTAAAATTAGAGTATGATTTTAGGGAAAAGAAACTGATTAAAGAATTATCATAAGTAATGAGTATTTTTAGTATCACTTCTTTGCCTATATGAACTTATGAAGGAAGCAAATGGGGATATTTCAGACTTTGCAATGAGTTAAGTTTGTTTGAAACTCCTGTTGATTGTGTATGTCAGTATATCACTGTAAAGTACACATTGAGAGATTTAAATTTACTTTCTAAAACACTTGAGTACAAATGCATACTAAGCAGTGGACATTAAAAATATGGTTCTGTCTTTTAAAAATGAAATTTATAATTATTTGTATTTCTAGGTGAAGTGACATAGAATATTATACTAGGATAAATATGCACTGATGCTTATATATACATACATGTTTTCATTGCTCTATTTAAAACTAGATACTTTATTTTTTTATTTTTTTTATTTCAGCATATTACAGGGGTACAAGTATTTAGGTTAGGTTACGTATATTGCCTTTGCCCCACTCAAGTCAGAGCTCCAAGCGTGTCCATCCTCCAGAAAGTGTGCATTGCACCCATTAGGTGCATATATACCCATCCTCCCTGCCCCGTCCCACCTGCCCAAGACCCAATGAATGTTACCATTATTTGTGCACATAAGTGTTGATCAGTTAATAACAATTTGATGATGAGTACATGTGGTACTTGTTTTTCCATTCTTGTTATATACTTCACTTAGTAGACTGGATTCCAGCTCTATCCAGGATAATAAAAGAGGTGCTGTATCACCATTGTTTTTTGTGGATGGGTAGAACTCCATGGTATACATATACCATGTTTTATTAATCTACTCATGTATTGATGGGCATTTGGATTGTTTCCACATCTTTGCAATTGTGAATTGTGCTGCTATAAACATTCTAGTGCAGATGTCTTTTTTATAGAATGTCTTTTGTTCCTTTGGGTAAATGCCCAGTAATAGGATTGCTGGATCAAATGGTAGTTCTACTTGTAGCTCTTTGAGCTATCTGCATATTACTTTCCACAGAGGTTGTACTAGTTTGTGTCCCACCAGCAGTGTAGGAGTGTTCCTATCTCTCTGCATCCATGCCAACATTTATTGTTTTGAGACTTTTTGATAAAGGCCCTTCTCACTGGAGATAAATGATATCTCAATGTGGTTTTGATTTGCATTTCCCTGATGATTAGAGATGTTGAGCATTCTTTCATGTTTGTTGGCCATTATTCTGTCTTCTTTTAAAAAGTTTCTGTTCATGTCCTTTGCCCTCTTTTTGATAGGGTTGTTTGATTTTTCCTTGCTGATTTTCCTGAGTTCTACATAGATTCTAGTTATCAGCCTTTTATCGCATGTGTAGCATGTGATTACTTTATCCCATTCTGTAGGTTGTCTGTTTGCTTTCATCATAGTTTCCTTGGCTGTGCAGAAGCTTTTTAATTTGATCAGGTCCCATTTATGCATTTTTGTTGTTATTGTATTTGCCTTTGGGGTCTTCTTCATAAATTCTTTGCCTAGGCCAATGTCTAGAAGAGTTTTTCCAACATTTTCTTCTAGAATTCTTATAGTTTCATGCCTTAGGTTTAAGTCTGTTACCCAGCGTGAGCTGATTTTTGGGAGAGGTGAAAGGTGGAGATCCTGTTTCAGTCTTCTACATATGACTATCCAATTTTCCCAGCACCATTTATTGAATAAGGATTCTTTTCCCCAGTGTATGTTTCTGTCTGCTTTGCCAAAGATTAGATGGCTATATGAGGATGGTTTTATATCTGGGTTCTCTGTTCTGTTCCGTTGGTCAATGTCTGTGTTCTTGCGCCAGCACAATACTGTTTTAGTTACTATTACTATATCCTTGTAGTATAACTTGACGTCTGGTAAATTCATGCCTCCTAATTTGTTCTTTTTGTTTAAGATTGCTTTTGTTATACGGGGTCTTCTCTGGTTCCATACGAAGTGTAGAAGTATTTTTTCTAGATCTGTGAAAAATGATGTTGGTATTTTAATAGGGATTGCATTGAATCTGTAGGTCACTTTGGGTAGCATAGACATTTTAACAATGTTTGATTCTGCCGACCCATGAGCATGGTATGATTTTCCACCTGTTTATGTCCTCTGATATTTCCTTCCTCAGTTAAAAATAGATATTTTTAATAGAATGTTAAATAAATTTCTGCTAATCTGACAGCCATTTAAATGCTGAAAAGAATATTTGATTGAAATAAACAAATCAACTATCTGAATGAGAGTGGGATTTCTGAATAAGGAAGCAAGATCTTTCAGGATATAAATGATTGAAGACTTAACCTTGAAGTCAGTACAGGAACAAAAATCCCTGCTATGGGTGCATAGTTTATACAATATCTCAAACTGAACACCAGATGGCAATGTTTATCCACTTTTATTTTTATTAAAGTTTTTTTGTTTTGTTTTGTTTTTTGTTTGTTTTTTTCCCCCCAGCAACTCAGAAGCTAAAGGAGAAACTAAGGGTTTTGGTCCTTGAAATTATTTGTAGGTCCTAGTCACTGAGAAAATTTTTTCTTGAAAAAGTATAATGATTTCTTCATTTTGCATACAGAACAAAGTTCTGTAGTCTGTCCCTGAAATGCTGTTCTCAGACTATTAATTGAGTCTAGCAAGAGAGGGATGCTATAGAAAATTAGCAGTGGATCTAGAAGAGAGAAAAACAAATTCCTAAAAAACTAAAAAAAAAAAAAATCCACATAATATATGGCAACATGAAAACACCTTGGAATATTTATTCTTGGGAATTAAATATTGAGGGGAGACAACAAATCATTTATTGCCGAATAAAAATTAATATGATGAAATTCTCTTTCTGATTTTGATTGATATTCAGAACTATTATAGAGAAATTCAGGTTAAAATTAAAAACACATTGATCAAAACAAATATGGCCTTCAACTTTATTCTAAGTGAACTTCCTTTATTAATTCCTACTTTCAGATCCACAACTAGTGCTGGGGAAAAGGATTGAGGGAAATTAGAATTCAGCACCTTCCCTTCTTCCTTTCCAGGGCTCATCTCCAACCTTGGACAGAGAGGAATCAGAAAGGGCCTCAGTTACTCTCCTAGAGACTAGTAGGCAACTTCGGGAGATCAGTTATTTTGGTTTCCAGTGAACACTTCCTTCCATTGGCATCAAAAGGGTTAAGTGGCAGTGAGTGATGCAGGAGTTCCCTGGAAAGAGCAGAAGGACTGATTAAATCTCTCCAGTGGGACTTTTAACTCCAAAGTTGTTGTTCCATAGGAAATTTTAGGAACAACCTGCTTGTCAGACATAGAATTTGTGCTTTGTAATTTTAGTTTAGACAAAGTTAGTTTGAAAATTATATCTTGGTGCCTTAGGAATAGATTTCTTATTTTTTAGACTGGGTCTTGCTCTGTCTCCTGGGGTAGAGTGCAGTGGTGTCATCATAGCTCACTGCAACCTCAAACTCTTGGGCTTGAGCAATCCTCCTGCCTCAGCCTACCAAGTAGCTGAGATTACAAGCACGCACCACCACATCCATAAAGACAGTGTCTCACTCTTGGTCAGGCTGGTCTCAAACTCCTTTTTTCCAGTGATCCTCCCATCTCGGCCTCCCAAAGTGTTAGGATTACAGGCATGAGCCATCATGCCTGGCCAGGCATAGACTTTTAATAATTTATTTGGTTTCAGTATGTGCTTTGTATTTACTTTTTATTATTGTAATATTTGTTATATTATTGTAGCTCTCTTTTACCCTGTGAAATACGGGGGGAAAAAACAAAAAAAAAAAAAAAGAAGAAGAGATTTTAAACCTCTTTATCAGAATTATAGCAAAATACTAATGGGAAAAAGTAGAGAAAAACATTTCTTCTTGGCTAATTTAAGGGAATTGATGGCTGTAGTAAATATATATATGCTATAACTTATTGGAAATAAGACAGAGACAAACCTCCTACACTGAGTGACAATTATTCTTTCATAAATGTAGTACATTACTGAAGAAGGAAGGAAGGGAGGAAGAAAGAAAGATGAGGGAGAGAGGGAGGAAAGAAACAGGAAGGCAGGTAGCAAGTTCAGCTGAGTCAGAGCTTAATGCTCTAGCCAATATAGATAAAATTTTAAAAATAAAGACATAAATAATAGAAATACATGTACTTATGGAACTTGGTAACTTTTCTAGTTATAGCCTTTGGAAATACCATTCAATTTTTTTTTCTTTTTTTTTTATTTTGGCATATTATGGGGGTACAGATTTTAAGGTTTCAATAAATGCCCATTTCCCCCCCTCCCCCCAAAAGTCTGAGTCTCCATCATGACCATCCCCCAGATGGTGCACATCTCACTCATTATGTATGTATATACCCACCCCCCTCCCCCTCCCCCCTCCCACCTGCCCAATACCCTATTACTGTAGTACCTATGTGTCCACTTAGGTGCTACTCAGTTAATACCAGATTTCTGGAGAATATATCTGGTGCTTGTTTTTCCATTCTTGGGATACTTCACTTAGTAGTATGGGTTCCAGCTCTAACCAGGAAAATATAAGATGTGCTATATCACCATTGTTTCTTAGAGCTGAATAGTACTCCATGGTATACATGTACCACATTTTATTAATCCATTCTTGGATTGATGGGCACTTGGGCTGTTTCCACAGCCTTGCAATTATGAATTGTGCTGCTATAAACATTCGAGTGCAGGTGTCTTTTTTGTAGAGTGTCACTGGATCATTTGGGTAGATGCCCAGCAATGGGATTGCTGGATCAAATGGTAGATTCACTTGTATCGCTTTAAGGTATCTCCATATTGCTTTCCACAGAGGTTGAACTAGTTTGCAGTCCCACCAGCAGTGTAGGAGTGTTCCTCTCTCTCCGCAACCACGCCAGCATTTATTGTTTGGAGATTTTTTGATAAAGGCCATTCTCACTGGGGTTAAGTGATATCTCATTGTGGTTTTGATTTGCATTTCCCTGATGATTAGAGATGTTGAGCATTTCTTCAATTTTTAAAAACTGTAATAATAGAATTAGAAAGAAATATAAGATTTTCACTTTCAGCTCTTTGGTGAAACCATCTCACCGTATACATATAGACAATAGACAAAACGCCTTTTTAAAAAGTTGGACAAGAGGCAGTACCACCTGTCACAATGAGAAAGGAAACGAGATGAGTTGGCTTTCTTCAGAGAAGCAATTCCAAACAATGGACACAGAGAAGTGAGGCACCCAAACAGAGTCTAGCAGCCTCAGTGACTTGAAGAGGCAGAAATCAGAGTTTTGGGCTGAAGTGGCTCAAAGCTATAAAGCAGAGTTCTAGAAAAAAAAGGAAACTATGCAAAAAAGACTCCACAAGCATGCATGTTTGGCCCCTCTAAGCTGTCCTAGTTCTTTGGCCCCTCTTGTGTAAAGTAAAAGTACACAGAACACTGAAGGAACAACCTGGAGTTGTAAGATGAACAATTCCCAGAGCTAATATACGGTAAGAACATTTCTGAGCTCTGAACAGCCAAGACAAAGACTCTTTGTCCTTCATATCCAGGACATTGAATGGGGAAGTCAGAGTGGTGAACTATTCACAGATTAAAGGTCATCCTAGACTAGTTATATAAAAACTTTTAAGAAGGGCTAAAAAGGATCAAATTCTTTTCTAATTAGCTTAACTGTCTATAAAATACAAAATTAAACATTCTTAAAAGGAAGATAATTAAATCTATACACTTGACAATGTAAATTAACAATATAGAATATCTGATTTAAAAACATGAAAAGAAGAAAAAAGTACCCCATTGCAAAAAAAGTGAATATACAGAAACTCCGAGAAGATCAAGATTATGAAATTATCAAAAAACTATGTTTGAAGAACTGCTAAACCTATGTATAACAACTTAAAGAAAAACATAAACACAATGAGAAAAGCAATGAAATATCTTAAACACTATATGAAACTTTAGTGAAAAACTAAAACATAAAATAAAACTTTTCTAGATGTGATCAATATCAGAATAAGCAGCGTAGAAGAAAATATTGGTGATTAAGAAGATACAGCAATAGATTCAACTACAATTAAGTAAAGATAGCCTAAAAGAGACTGAATAAGGTTAACAGAGAAAGGAATTGTGAAATAATATCAAGTTTCTTACATATAAGTAACAGCAGTCTCAGAAGGAAAGGAGAGAGTAGTGAGAAAAATTATTTGAATTAACAAAGGAGATTCATGTCCTCAAACCACAGACATGTATTCTCAGCCTGATCCCGAACACTCTTCCCTTTTCCTCTTTTCTGGTAGAATACAGGAAAGGATATATAATCATTGATAGAAGCTATGATAGTGACACAGAGAATCTGAATCTATTTAAAATGTAAAATAATCTAATCACTTAAGCAGCATTTCACCATCATTTAATTGATTTTTGGTAGTGTTAAATTCTGAAATCCTAGAGTCTCAAAGTGTTCCTTGTCCATTAAACAATAAGGGTATTAAAATTTTTAATCCAGTTTTATTGAGTTAGAACTTTGATAGGATGATCCCCCAATTTAAGTGTAAATTTGAGTGTTGACAAATGTATATACTATAATGTAACCATTAAAGAAGTCAAATATAGAATATTTCTCTCACCCCACATTGTCCCTCATGGCCACTGCAGCCCATCTCTCTTTCCCACCTTGGCCTCTGATAACCACTGATCTGCTTTTTGTCTTCATAATTTAGCCCTTTTAGAATTTTATGTAATTTAATCATAAAATATGTAGTTTTGTGTCTGGCATCTTTTACTTAACGTAAGACATTTGAGATTCATCAGTAGTCTTCTTTTTTTTTAGTGCTGAGTACTATTTCGTCATATTATACAGCAAACTCTATGTATCCATTTACCACTTGTTAAACATTTGGATTATTTCTATTTTTAGGCTATTATGAATATTGTTTTAAATATTCAAGTTCAAACCTTTTATGGAAATTAGTCTTAATTTTTATTAAGTAAATATCTAGAAAGGGGATTGTTCAATTATAAATGTAGTGGTATCTATGTGAAAACAACAGCTAGACTCTCTTTCTTAAATGGCTATACATTTCATATTGTCTTCAGACAATTTTACATTGTTTCCATGTGGATCTGTTTCTGGATTTTATATCTTGTTCCATTTAACAATTCTCTGCCATTATGGAAAAACTACATTATCTTGATTTCATTAGTATTATAGAAAGTATTGGTATCAAGTAATGATAGTCATTCAACTTTGTTCTTCCTTTAAAAAAATTGTTTTGATTACTTAATTGTCTTTGAATTTCTGTTAAAAATTATCTTATTGATATCCATAAAACACAATTCTCTGGATTTTAAAAGAAATTGCAGGTCAACGTCTTAGCCATATTGAGTTTTCAAATCCATAGACATGCCACTTCTCTTTATTTAGATGTCATCTTTACTATTTCTCTATGTTTTATAGTTTCTTTTCCACAAATTTGCCAACATTTTTAAAATCCCTAAGCATTTTTGATGCACCTATAAGTGGTAACTTTAATTTCAATGTTTAATTGTTCACGATAGCACAGAAATGGTAATCTTGTGTCCTGTGATCTTACTCACTTATTTGTTCTAGTAGTCGTTTTGTAGATTTCTTATAATTTTCTACATGAAAAATAATGTTGTTTGTGAATAATAACAGTTTTATTTCACTCTTTTCTATCTATGTGCCTTTTATTCCTTGTTGCCTTATTGCACTGGCTAAGACCTCCATGGAAATGTTAAATAGAAGAGGTAAGAGTGGACATCGTGGCCTTGATATGCTTGACTTAATCTGGAGATTTTTCAGAAATAACCTTTATCACATTAAGCAAGTTCCTTTCATCCGTGTGTTGCTGAGATGACTAATAGTAAGTGTCTGTTTAATTTGCTAAGTTTTTTTCTGCATATAGTAAAATGACCACATGGGTTTTTTGGGGGTTTTTTTGGTTTGTTTGTTTTGTTTTGTTTTGTAGTCTATTATAGTGATTTGAATTGATAGATCTCCAAATATTATATAAACTTTACATTCCTGAGATAAAGCCCACTTGATCATGATGTGTGGTCCTTTAAATACATATTTATAAATTTACTAAAATTTTAAAAGTTGATGACTTCTGCATTTATATTCAGTTTTCCTTTCTTGTAATACCTTTGTCTGGTTTTAATATCAGGGTAATTCTGGTACTATAAAATGAGACAAAATGTATCATTCTCTGTATTTTGAAAGAGTTTTTATAGAATTCTTATGATTTGCCATCAATTAGTAAAATTCATCACTGAAGCCATCATGGGTTGGATTTTTTTTGTTTAGTGGCAAATTCAATTTATATATATCTATGTGGTGCTGTGTGTGAACTGTATTTTTTGAGTGAATTTTGACAGTTTGTATTTTTTAGGAAATTTGTTCATTTGATCTGGTTTACCAAATTTATTGCAATAAAGGTATTTATAATATTTCTTATTATCCTTTTAATATTAACAGGATTTATAGTTTATCCTCTCTTATAGCCTTGATATTGTTACTTTGTGTCTTTTTAACAGGTTAATCTGGCAGAGCTTTATCACTTTTTAAGTAAGCTATTCAAATAACCAGTACTTGAAACGCTGGAAGCAGCTTAGATGAATGATTTAAGACATTTATTCTTTTTTCTCTATGTACCAATTTAGCTTTATTCCACAGATTTTATTTTGTGAATAATATACACTGAAATATATGGAAATATTTATTTATTTGTTTCCCCTTGTGATTGCTTCCCTAAATCATGGGTTATTTAAAAATATGTTGTTTATTTTTCAAATATTTATAGTTTTTTCAGATATGTGTCTATTTTTGATTTGTAATTGAATTTCTTTCTGGTCATAGAACATAATTTGTATGATTCTTATTACTTTATATTTACTGAGATGTGTTTTATCACTGAGAATATAATCTATATTGGTGAATATTGTATATATACTTGCAAATAATGTATATTATGTTATTAATTACATGGAGAACTCATTCAGTAAGTAACTATGAAGAACAGTTTTTTATTACTATTGTTCCAGCTTTTCATAGCCTTAATTATATTTTCTCTATTTGTCAATTAATTATTAAGAGAGGAGTATTGAAATACCCAAATGAAATTTTGGATTTATATGTTTCTCTTTTTGGTTCATGTATTCTAAATCTATGTTACCGTGTGCAAATACCCCTTTACAATTGTTATGTCTTTCTGTTATTTTTATTCCTTGATTATGAAACATATCTCCTTATTCCTGGCAGTAGTCCTTGTTCCCAAGTCTATTTTCTCTGACATTAGAATAACTGCTGCAGCTTTTTAATGCATATTTAATGGTACATCTTTTACCATCTGTTTACTATTAGCAAAATTTTTCTTTATATTTAAAATAATTTTATGTAGGACATATAGCTATTTATATATTTTTTAAAAATCCATTTTGGTAATTTCTGTATTTAAATTGGAAAAAGACCATTTACATATAATTAAATTACCAAATCTTTAATGTCTATTTAAATCTAGCAGCTTAAGATTTTTAAAATTTTCATATCTTCTTTCTTTCTTGTTTTTATCCAGTGCTTTATTATTTATTATTTGAATATTTTTACTATTTAGTTTTACTTCTACCATTGAATTTTAGCTCGACTTTATCTTATTTTATTTATATTGTATATATTTAAGTTTTACAAAATGATGTCTTAATATACAAAAACATACTGAAATGATTTTTTAGTTTCTACTTAAGGATTTATCATATATATTTTTAGTGTTACACTAATAACTATACCACTTCTCATATGTTTTTAGACGTTACTATTATAGACTTCTGTTTCCCTTCCTATCCATGTAGTTATGGTTATCACATATACTACTTCAACGTATATTATAAATCACATAATAAATCTGTAGCATTATTTTTCTGTAAGTAATTTATTATCTCTTAAATAAATTATGATATGAGAAAAATATCTGTTATCTGCTAATCACTATGTTTACCCTCTCAGGTCTTTTTCATTCTTTTGTAGGTTCACATTTTCTTCTGGTATCATCTCTCTTCTGCAAAAAATATGTCATAATCATTTACTTTTTTGTTTGTTTTTGCTAGTGCAAGGTCTCATGGAGACAAACTCTCACAGATTTTGTTTTTGAAACACATTTTACTGAATATAAAATCCTAAGTTGACTTTTTCAGTACTTTAAATATGCTTCTCCAGTGTCTTTTGAGCTACATATTTTCTGATTACAAAAGTTTTTATTCTTTTATTCTTGTGTTTATTCCTTGTCATGAAATATATTTATCCCTCCTACCTTACACAGTCCTTCTAAAGTTGTATCTTTGTCACTTGTTTTCAGAAATTTGATTATGGTGTGCCTGGTGGTTTATTTTCTATTTTATTCTTCAGTATTCTTGGATTTATAAGATTATGTTTTTCATTACATTTAGATAATTATTGGTCACTGTTTATTGACTTTTTCTTCTTTTTCCATGTCTCTCTTTTACTCCTGGGACTACAATGGGACATATATTAGATAACTTGACATTTTTTCCATAGGTCACAATGCTTTGCTCATTTTTACCAGATTTCTCTCCCTGCCTCCCTCCCTTCTTTACCTCCTTCCTCCCTCCCTTCCTTCTTTCCTTCCTTTCTTTCTCTTTTTTCCTTCCTTCCTTCTTTTCTTTGTTTCTTTCTTTCCCTCTCTGTCTTTCTGTAATTTGTTTTGAATAGTTGCTGTTTTCTGTGTACTTATGTTTACTGAAGTTTTCTTCACCAGTGCTTCATCTGCTATGAATCTCACAGCATTTCATATAATATATTGATTTTTTATCTCTACTAGTTTGACTTATGTCTTTTTAAATATCTTTTATATTTTCTTCATATATCTTTTGTTTTCCTCTGTTTTCTAAGGACATACAAAGCATTTGTATAATTTATATTTTAATATATTTGTGGTCAAAATTTGTGAAGAGAATGATATTTTATACCACTTGCAAGTGAACAAATTTCTTTGACACAGTTTTATGGATGATTGCAGAAGATACGATACTCGTGGGGCCTAAACAATGGACAGCGTAGCACTCACAGAAACAGCAGCAGCCAGAATGCTGGCATTTGCACCTTGGTTTTTCAATCCCCAATGCCCATAGGTCAATGCAAAGATGGTTTCGTGATACCTGTACACAGAATATGTTGCATTGCAGGAGAGGAGAGTTAGGGAGCCTGAATGTCTTACAATGGACGGTAAGCATTCCATCCTTTTGCCCCATATGGAGACATTGTCTTTACTATTCTGGGCATTAAATGATGCCTGCATTTTGTTCTGTAGGAAGACACTACCTGTTTTTATTTTAAGTGATAAGCAGACCTACAATTTGATCTGAAGTGAGAAAATGTCTTTATCACCAAGGCTATTCTTAAAATAGCCTTGGCTATCACCAACATTCTTAAAAACATAATCAGACAAAAGATTGGTCAGTGCACCTTACTCATAAGATATACAAAAATGTTAGGGCCACATGGAGAAGAGAATTATTCCCCAGTACTGCCTGCTAATTCCATTTTCTCTGTAATTTCTAGAACTTTGTATTTGCTAATTTTTCTCTCTATGGGCCATATTTTTTTCTAACTTTTTTCAATGCCAGGCAATTTTTTATTAGATGCCATAGATGCCGGAAGTTGATTGAATCATAGGATGCTTGAGGGTGTTTGTTTTTGTTTTTTTTTTGAGACAGAGTCTCACTTGTTGACCAGGCTAGAGCGAGTGCCGTGGCGTCAGCCTAGCTCACAGCAACCTCAAACTCCTGGGAAGGAGGAAAGGATTAATTTCAGTGGATGCATCAACTGGGAGGGGGAGGTTATGAATTGCCTCAAATCCACCTGCCTGACCAACAGGATCACAGGGTTTTTCTGCTGGTGAAATGAACAATGCAGGAGGGGAGTGAGCATCGTTGTGTGTTTGGGGCGGAGTGCAGGGCACGCAAGCACAGTGAGAAATCATGCCAGTACGTATGTCCCATGATCAAAAAATGGCAGATAAGTCCCTCCCAGGATGAGGATTTTAGTATTATAATGAGCTAGGGGTTAATATTGGTCATTCTTTCAGCCTTGTGTGCAGGCCTGGTGGGTCTTTGGGCACAGTTGTGGTGGGGCATCGCTTATCTTGTCTTCCCTGGACAAGTAGGTGGTGTGAGGCTTTGTAGGGTGTTCTGCCATTCCTGGCCAAAAAAAAAACACTCAATAGAGAATGCATCAGAGCAACAGAAAGTTACAAAGTTCTGCTCAGCAAATTTAACTGAAGAGTTTTCTATTTTCTGCCTAATTTGAAACTGTGTAGCTGCTGTTATGAGGGCTGAGATAAATCTTGCTGTCGGCCTCACTTAGAGCTGCTGGCCCCAGCCATAATGTAAACACTGAAAACGCATTTGAAATATGAGAGAACTAAAAACACTAACATTATTGAGAAAACATTTTTTGTGCCTGTGGAACCGGTTACAGAAGTTTCCTATCAAGCATGAACAGATTAGAAAGCAAATGGCGCAAGAGGAATTTTCTGCACATTTCAAAAGCTTTTTTGTGTGTGCAGTTTATTTCTCTTGCGTCTATGAACGCTGATCTCTGCCTCCCTAATCAGGCGAAAATTTGGATTTTCTGTTTGGTCTTTTTTCACTCTGTGTAGTGACGTGGAAGCTGCCTGCAGGCAGGAAGCTGATTTAATTTCAGAGCTCAACTCATCTCCTTTCCTTCTTTCCCTGGTCAAAGTCTTTTGCTGTCTATTTTCAGTGTGTGAAAACTTTTGTTTCATGTATTTTGTTTGGTTTTCTAGTTGTGTAAGATAGGAAATCTGGTTCCTGTTATTATTAGATCATGACCAGAAGCAAAGGTAATCAGAAAGGTTGTGCTTGTCTCCTGTCCTTTAGTTAACATCCAGCTTTGGACCAGGGTGACTTACATTCATTCCTCTATTTGTGACCCTTTAAATTCTAAATTTTAGTATGGCTGACTGTGACTTCAAAAGTAAATTTATGAGCTACAGAATGTAGCTATTTCTAGACAGAGGTGATATTTAAAATATACAACAGCAACTGGAAACAATATTTTTAACACAAAAACTCATTTTTCATGGCTGAATTATTATTTACACTAGAAATACAAAATCTAGAATGGAAAAACAAACACCACACACACTCACCATTAAACTGGAACTAATCAGTCAACACCCATTTGCACAGATGGAAATAACATTCAGCAGAAATCTAGCAGGAGGAAGGGGGAGAAGGGGATGGGTAAATTCACACCCAGGGGTACCATGCACACTATTGGGGGATGGAAACACTTACAGCTTTGACTCACAGGGCACAAAAGCAATTATGTAACCAATATGTTTGTACCCCAGTAATAGTACGAAATTTAAAAAATTAAAAATAAGGCCGGGCGCGGTGGCTCACGCCTGTAATCCTAGCACTTTGGGAGGCCGAGGCGGGAGGATTGCTCAAGGTCAGGAGTTCGAAACCAGCCTGAGCGAGACCCCGTCTCTACCAAAAATATAAAGAAATTAATTGACCAACTAAAAATATATATAAAAAAAATTAGCCGGGCATGGCGGCGCATGCCTGTAGTCCCAGCTACTAGGGAGGCTGAGGCAGTAGGATCGCTGAGCCCAGGAGATTGAGGTTGCTGTGAGCCAGGCTGACGCCACGGCACTCACTCTAGCCTGGGCAACAAAGTGAGACTCTGTCTCAAAAAAAAAAAAAAATAAATCTGAGGCCCGGAAGCGGACAGAGCGGGGCAAACATCAAACCGCGGAGTGTCCGTGCCCGTCTCCCGCACTTGCAGCCCTGCAGCCCTGCAGCCCTGCAGCCCTGCAGCCCTGCAGCCCTGCAGCCCTGCAGCCCTGCAGCCCTGCAGCCCTGCAGCCCTGCAGCCCTGCAGCCCTGCAGCCCTGCAGCCCTGCACAGCTTCCCTCTGCTGGAAATCTCTTGGCCCGTCCGCCCGCTCTTCCTGCCTTCGCCCCAGCTAAACGCCGCTTTTCACGTTTTTTAAATCTTTAAGCAGAGTTTTCCCAGCCTAAAACCCTTGCCTGAGCTCCCGGGTGCATTCGCCGCCTAGCGCCACGCAAGGCCCCTGGTCGCCGCAGGACAGGGAGGCTGCGAACTCCCGCCACGCCACGCCCATCCCCTCCCGCATCCCCCCCACCACGCCCTCCGCTCCCCGCGGCCCCCCACAGGCCTCCTCCATCCCCAAGCCACGCCCCGATCCCCACCCCTTTCCAGGCCTACCCCCAGTCCCGCCTTCCCCACCCGCGGCGCGCCCCCCCCCCGCCTCCGCTCCTTTCCAGGCTCACCCCGCTCCCTGCACCCCGGTTCCCAGGCCCTCCCCCCTCCAGCTCCCTGCTCCGCCCAG